CCCACACCAAAGTACTCCTCATTCATGCTACACAACAGAACACACAAATTGAACATGGCAAGTTGAGTACTGTCACGCACAACGCTCTTAATGAGGTATACCATTTAAAATGCAGGATATATTCAGGACATTTTTCGTCTGTTTTTCTACATATAGCTAGCAATTAACGAAGTTCTGATGAAGTATACTCTAGTAGAACTCGCTTTGGGCTAGTTGGTGCACGTCTTGATTAAATATTCAACGTTTCTTTCTTTCTGTGTGTTTGTGTCTTCCTGTGTGTGATTGTTCTTTCAGCGCGACGTTGAATATTTAATCAATCAATTTTGATGAAGAGCGCATGGTATGCGACGTCAGCCCACCAATGTCAACATAAAGTAGCGACGTAAAATCAGGCCCACTTCTTACTCTACGTCACTCCCTAGAACTTGTGGCGCACGTCCACGAGAAGTGTAAGTGGAATTTTTGATAAATTGAACGTTCTCCCACTACAGGTCATTTTGAAAATTTTAACAGGAATGATCCGGAGTGCTCAGTGCACCATTACGCCTGTGAGCTCTAAACGCCTAAACCTAGTAAGGGGTTCTTTAAGGTGTTCACTGATAAGGCAGAAATTGTTCCTACGTGATTGGACCGAGCATCCCTCCCTTCTGGGGAATCAGTGGTCTGGTGATTTGCTCCTGCGCTGCCCTTTCCAGCTACAACAAAACGAACGTGATTCAGGAGGGCGTTAATTGAATGGTGAACACATGACCTGCACAAATGCTAGACATTAAAACGAAAGGCCACATATGGCAAATAGCATGGGAAATGCATGCCTATGTTCAATTTATCGTACCTCTCTACTATCTAAATGTCATTTTTTATGCTTCTCGCCGTAGATACAAGCCACAGACTTCGTTGTTTTGGGATATTTCAATTTTTGTAGAAATATATTGTGCCTATATTTATGATTTTGAAGGCCTAAAACGGTGTTTTACCTGCTTGTCTTTGGCGCCTTAAACATGCTTTTTAGTGCGTAAAAATCCGGCCTCTAGTAATAACAAGGCTCTTTTTGAAGTGCCCCGTGTTCCAAGGGTGATTTTGTCGCTTTTGAGGTCGCCAATGGTTAGTTCAGCCATGTGTTCATGCAGAAAAGTTCTGATATAATGTAAGTGCGACTGCCGACGTTCATTTGGGTCAGGTTGTGAAGTACAGCAGCATGGGACATATTATCAAATACTTTAGTGATATGCAGGCCCAGGATGATCCTGGTAGCTGCTGTGTGTCTAGGATTTAATATATCATTGTGAAGTTGCAGCATTATATCCTATGTGGATATTTGCTGGCGAAATCCCACCATCGTGGGGGGTAGCAGGTCCCTCGACTCTGCATAAGCTGTTAGTCGTTGCAGAATTGCGTGTTCCATCACTTTCCTTAGGCATGGTGTAAGAGAAATAGGCCGAAGACTTTCCAGGCTTATAGTCTTGCCTGGTTTTGGAATAAATATTACTCGAGCATGTCTCCAACTTGGCGGTAGTGTCCCAGACGTCCGATGTTTGTTCATAAGGTCAGTAATTGCCGTAATAGACTTATCTTCTAGGTTACGCAGTATTTTGTTGGAAATTTGATCATCTCCTGGGAAAGCCGTTGTACGAATAAAATTCGAAACAGCACGTATTTCCGGATCAGTTATATCTCCATCTAGCTCATGGTTAGTTTTTCCGGGGTATTCAGGCATTTGTGACGAGTCTACCTGTGTGTATAAATACCTGTTTTTTAGTTCTTGCACTAATTCCTGGTTGGTGCCCGTTTATTTGCAAACGAGCTGATTCATTTTGTTGCGCGACGTGCTTTTAGTCTGCTCAGGATCTAATAGGTGCCTGAGGGGCTGCCAGGTGTCTTTATTTCCTAGCTGATCGTTGAGCCTGTCACATAGATTCGTTGTGTTTGACTCAGTTATTTTTTTTGTATTCCTCGATGTCCCTTTCAATTTGCGCCAGTCGGTGTTGCAAGTTTCGATTGTGCTCTTGGCGGAGCCATCGGCGATGTAAGCTGGCTTGTGCTTCTCACAAGTGCACAAGGTTTGAGTCCGGGATGGGACCGTCCCACTCTACTGGGGTTTCGCATGTAGCCCGTTTAGCATCATTAGTGAGACCGGTAGTCCACTCATTGAGACCTTCAATAGTGGCGTTTGAGCGCTTGTTTCTCAGGAATCGAAAGACATCCCATTTCGGGTGTTTAGTAGGGAATTTTGTTCTTTTGCAGCCCTTTGTGGGTACATTGATGGAAATCAGATAATGGTCGCTTCCTGAATGTCGTTCACTGTTTTCCCACGTAACTGCATAAGCGTTATTAGAAAGTGTCAAGTCGGGGGTTGTGTTGTGATTGACGCTATTCCTAATCCTAGCTAGTCGGTCGGGGAGCATGAGTAGGGTAATACTCAAGTCCCTAATAGTTTCTCATTCTTTAGTGCCCTTGCGGTCATATTTGGGGTAGCCTCATTCGGTATGTCTGGCATTAAAGTCACCTATTATTATCACCTGTGAGTGACCCGCTATTCTGCTAACTTTTCTTAGGAGTGAGGTAAACGTGGGTTCTGGTATCTCTGGGTGAACTATAAAATTAAAAATCTATACTCTGCATATATTTGAGCGTTTGTGAGGGAGACGTTCTACGAGAGTGTGAGCTATCTCTAGATATTGCAAATCATGTTGGATTGCTGTAAGATTGCGTTGCATCAGTATGACAGCAGCCGGTTTCTTACCGCCAGTGGTAAGTTTGTTGAATACGGTATATCCAGAGAGTTTTGCAGAATAACCTGTCTCCCGTAACGCAGTTATATCAGGAGACTCGTCGGCGGATCGGAGGTGAAACTGCAAAGCTTCCCGTTTGTTGCGGTAGCTCCTGCAATTCCACTGACAGAAGAGCGTTCTAGTCGTGTTGGCCGTCTTTTCGTGAATATGGTGTTGCCCTGACAGATTGGGTCGAGGGCATTTTGGGATTTTTTATAGCAATAGGCTGCGTGGGAGTTGAGGACGGTGTCTGTCATGTGATTACGTTGGCCGCAGCTGCACTCTCGGTCAAAGCGGGAAGCGAGCGGAAATCTAAGCGAGCTGTATATTTTGCGAGAGCTATACCAAGGGCACCGATACTTTCAGTGAGCTGTTGATTTTGAGTTGTTTGCTCCCTAGACATTTTGTCGAACAGAAATTCCAGCCTTTAAATTCGGTCATTGATTTGTGAGACATTCATGTCTGCGGTGGTAATAGCGGCTGTTGGTTCAGCAGCCTTATGTTTCGTGTCCCTGACCGCGTCTACTTCCATTGTGGCAGTGTTTTCTTTTTGCGCGACACAGGCCAAGATCTGTTCAGTACTGGTCGTAATAGTGGCGCTAGCAGGCGCTTGTTTGCGTTCCAATTGTTCAATTTTATTGTTATCGGCAGCCAATTGTCGTTGCAAGAGTTTAACCTGTTTTGCCAACTCCCTCACCTGTTCGTTTTCGAAGGGTTGTGTCTGCGGCTGTCGCCGTTTCTGCGTCTGCCAGGCAACCCATGCTCTTTGCGTGTGGGATGGCCGGAAGTCTGTTGTCGTGATCTCGGGTCCTTGACGGGGATCGGAAGCAGGCACCGTTCTCAGGTTTGGTAGCACTGGTGCTCCTTCCACCAAGCGGCGGGAAAGATTCTTGATAGTTCTTATTGTCGGTAGTAGTACCCTCGGTCTGGCAGTCGGAAAGATGCTGAGTTGCTTTTTCGGTGCTGTTGTCGTGTCCTTGAAGCTTCCTTTTCAGAAGTCGGCATTTACAGTTGCGACTGCCGGTTACGTCGACACCTTTATAAATGACACGTTGCGCCGGGCAAAGGAGTTCTTTGCTGTCGGTAGGTTGCGGGTGGCTTGGCACGGGATTAGTGGGCAATTTTTAGTTGGGTAATCTTCAGGTAAGCCTTTGCATGGTTCATATCAGGCGTGCTCACAGTGATAGTGTTGTTCGTCGGGTGAATGCGCCTCTGATCGGTGTGAAAGACTTTGGGTGAGTCGAATCCAGCAGCGGCGCATAAGGCTTTAGAGAGGCGGGCTGGTTCCAGATTGGCTAGGTGTAATGAACCCTTCGGTCACAAGACTATTTTGTAGTCTTCCCGGGGTAACCGTGGCAGTGGGCGTCGCTTTGGACCGGGCTGTGGTCGTGCACGGCAAGGACCGGGCTGTGGTCGTGCACGTCACATTGTCGGCCGCGTCTGAGCGGTGCTCGGGATCAGGACGGCGATATCGGCGTTGCACGGCCGACGCAGTATGTGACCATGGCTTGTCATTAAGCTATTCATCTGTTATTAGCATTCCTGTTACGACAACTTCCATTTTCCTGTCGGGGACCCGCTCTAGAAGCGAACGCTGACAGAGAAAGGTGGCGTCTTGTCGCAACGACGCCGGAGTTAGCATAAGCACGGCCGCCTAGCGAAGTCGGGCACGGTGCGTTCACATCAGCAAAAGAACGACTTGCCGGTGTGAAGTGGTGATTTCCAACGGTGTCTGGCGTCGCCTTGGAGCGTTGAGTCACTTTTCAGACGTAGAAAAGGAAATTGTGGCAATGCAGCAAGGTGAAAATGCAGAATCCATGTGAACCGTCTCCATGAGGTCTGGTGATCACAGCGCCTCCAGCGTGGGCAACGACCTGCTTCGCATCTAAAACCTCATTCGTGTTAATCCACACTTTGGCCGAATGTGCATGATGCGTTGCCAATCTTTAACATAAGGTGACACTTCATGTACAGCTTCTTTTTCACATTGAATGTTATTTCAGATGACAGTCATAAACATAGCTGATTGCAGTATTTGTTTCCCTTTATCTGTGCTTCTTTTATCTTCCTTTTTAACGCTGTTCGCGTGCCTTACACATTATGTCATACATTTCTGAAACGTTCTACGAATATTCGGCTTGAAAAGGCACGCGTCGTTACCAAAACAAAGATGCTTAACCAGGAAATAATATTGTGTAAGAATGTCATTCCTATGTTTCATTTGTGTAGGACCCTACATGTACGCTCAGAACAGCCGTTTCACCATAAGTAAAGCCCGCCTGGTTTCAATGAAGATGAGCCCTACTCCTGACACAGGTCGTTGTTTCACGTTTTGGTAAGCAACCTTCAACTCTTGACACAATTTCTCAGTGAAAGTGGTTTCTGCATTCAGTGTGAGTGGGTATGCATGGGCAAAAGTCACTTTTAACGTGACAAGTGTTAACAAAAAGCTGTATGCTGTTTAGATGCTCATCTTTTTTTTTTCTTTTGCGTCCATCGACAGAACAGTGGACATAGCCGTTCTCGTACACTTTCCTGTAATTGGAGCAAAAGGGATCGTCCTCCTGGGGTTTTGCATTAAGGAGACATACCAATATTTATTTCAATGACGATAATCAGAAAATATCTTTCAAGACGATGTGAGAGACTTAAAGTCGCGTCAGAAAAAACAGACATGTAGCGTTCGGCAGATTATTATCCGGCAAGATGATGCATGCGTATGCTGCAGTTGCAGGCTAGTGGAGGCAGTAAACCTTTCTAAATCTGTCATCTGCGCGAAGGGTGTACGGCAAACCAGTGCCTAATGAGCCGGCTATACCACAATACAAGGGGGAGTCCTATAGCGAGGGACCCCATTAGTTGTGGCCGCTGTGCTGACATGCCAGACCACAGCCCATTGAACGGAAAGATTCTGGCAGCTGAGCAGAGCCGCCTCCCAGCCTTCTCGCGTTGAGTTGTGGTTTCGGAGTAAATAATAGAGCTGGCATGCCCGTAACACGTTGTAGGTATCCACTAGCACGATGGATGGATGGATGAAAATACCTTTATTTATACGCCCTGTTCAGGATGTAGCCACCTGCCTGGCTAATCACACGTTGCGACTGGGAGGTCAAGACTCCTAGCCCTTTCATGTGCGTATTGAACAGCCAGGACTTGGAGAATACGGTCGTGAGACTTTATCATCCCTGTAAATCGTTCCCGCGAAATGCCACGGCCAAGCGACCCACACTTCCAGAACATATGCTCAAGCGTGCATACTTCTTTCTTATATGCCTTGTCAACAACATTCATATATTTTATATCTTTTGCCTGTGCCGGTGAGTAACAAGGCTGTGTCTGCAATTGTGTAAGTGTGACCAATTTTGCTCTGTTTAGTCTACTGTGAGGGGATTGAACTCTCTCCTCACCTAGTAGTAATGTTTAATAAATTTATTATATGTCATGGGCGTATCCAGTAGCACGACCTACCTCATACGAAAGGAGTAGTAAAATTACAACACTGGCGTAGGTAAAAAGGTCACGTGGTCCCATCGTACAACTGCCCGAAATTACTCGAAGGTAGAAAAGACATTCTTTTTTTTGTTATCTTGTGAGCCGATTGTGATCTCGTCTACCCGAAAGTTTTCTGCACCTAAGGCGCCTATTAAAATTTTCACTGCGTCCACTATAGAAGGCTTGCAAGCATTCTGTACCTCACGTGGCTTTGGAATATCACCATTACCTGCCCACATTTCACCATGGACCGAAGTCATAAGATTACACCAACATGTGATGCCATTTTGACGTGTGGCAGCTTAGAAGTGTGCAGGTTGGGCTAGTTGGTATGGCATGACGATAGTTATAGCGCGAGAACAAAACGACGACACAGAGACAAGCTCGTGTCTTTCGTATCCTTCTTGTCTCTGTGTCACCGTTTTGTTCTCGCGCTATAACTATCGTCATGCTGTTTTGACGTCACATATTTTAGCCTCCTTTTATTTTTGAGGACGTGACAATATGATGTTATTACACGGTGATAATGTCTCGCCTGAATCCGTGTTGACACCGTCGCGGACGATCACTTTTTTTTCTTTGACGATACATCTAAGGCTCTCACCTTTATAGCAGGCTGTTTATCCTAGCACTTGGTTTTGTTTGTGATGCAAAGGCCACGCATGTTTAGGGACCTTGGAGGGCAGCTTTTGGACTAGTTTTTCTTCTCTTACTATAAAATATTTCATGCTATATATTTCTCAGCTGCGCAAGCCTCTGTCACACTGGGCTATTAGATCAAATTACACTCCACTTTTGACCCTTGCCGATCAACCTCTTTCACACTATCAATTAGGGCTTTTGTTCATCGTTAGTGTGCGCAGTAAATGGCATTTTCTCGATAATATTGCTAGAGAACTATTCTGAGAACTGTGGCCGAACACCCTTTTTGGCCTAATAGGAAATGAACTCTTTATAATCTAAATTTTGGTTAACAGTAGGAATAGTTGGTACATTTGAAATTCCATATTGATTTTTACTTTTAGGTACAACATGTGGCATCCAAACGTTGGAAACCTAAGCCTCTTGATGCGCATGAATAATGTAACAAATATCCTGTGGACACGGTCATCCCCCCAAGGCAAAGAATGGAAGCAAGGCCAGGTTCAGCTACACTCAGATGATCCTCATCAGGTAAGGGCAAGAGTTTCGTCTGCGGTTTTTTCTGTGTATTTATACTAATGCATATAGCCAGATATTCAAATACTTGAGGTTGTTAGCTGTACTGATGTTCCAGTAACAAATTGATTGATTGATTGATTGATATATGGGGTTTAACGTACCAAAACCACCATATTATTACGAGAGACGCCGTAGTGGAGAACTCCGGAAATTTCGACCACCTGGGGTTTTCTAACGTGTACCCAAATCTGAGCACACGGGCCTACAACATTTCCGTCTCCATCGGAAGTGCAGCCGCCGCAGCAGGGATTTGATCCCGCGACATGAGGGTCAGCAACCGAGTATTTTAGCCACCAGACCACCATGGCGGGGCTCCAGTAACAAATCGTACTGTGATACCATTTCAACTATCGTACTTGTGTTTTGTTGCCATCTGTGCCGAGGCCAAAAGTGAAGACAATAAAATTTGTGTCATATAAGTAGTGGCATGGCAAGCAAGCTGAGCTAGTCTTAATGATTGCATTATAACTTGTTAGCTACTGAAATATTGCAATTTTCAAGAAGTGTGACAGACACTATTCTTGACGACACACAAAGATATTCTCTACAGAAACTGCATAATCACCTTTTTAAAAAAACTATGGTTCATACTTCATCCGTTTGAGCACAATTTTCAAGTGTAAAAGTGAGCGTAAAATTATTGTCTTGAAGCTCGAAGTTATTGGGTCCACATAAAGTTTTAATCTTCTTGATCGACCATTCTGTGCATTCTCGCAGGTTTGTCGGGTGCGATAAAGATCACATTTGTGCCCGCCCTTTCCACAAATTTTGCAGGCTACTCGAAACAGAATATATGTGAAAAACCGCGTATACCTGTGCTTCCGCACTGTAGACATCACCGCTTTACATCATCACCTTGTTTTTTCCTTTGCGGTAACGGCAAATAGAATTGCTAACAGATACCCCGAGTCAGTAAGGCCTTTTCCTTAAACCAAGTAATTAATGCTTAAGTTATGAAGTTCTTAAAGAATTATCAAAAGATAAACATACAATATTGTGTGATACAAGTTTACATGGAATGCGGACAATGAGACATGACTTTCGTTTTTATTTTCATTTTTATACCCTAACATGCCCCTAAACCTACACAGTTCAAAGAAAGACAGTAGTTTCATTCTCTCCTTCAGTACACTTTCTAAATCTCGTATCTCCTCCTCGCCACATATTTCTTCTCACTGCATGCGGAGATACTAAGCGTTCAGCCAGACTGGACTTCACACTTTCCGCTGGCACATTGATAACGCCGCTTGCGCAGTCGCATATGCAAGAAATGAACTGAACTGTACTACGTTTTTCACGCAAAATCATCGTGCGAGACAAGACATAACAGGGATGTTACAACATGATAAATGAAAGCAAAATATCGTTCACAGCAAACATATTAATTACAAAGCATCTGCTTGCTTACTTAGGCCATTTTGGTATCTATCTATCTATCTATCTATCTATCTATTTATCTATATATCTATCTATTTATCTATCTATCTATCTATCTATCTATCTATCTATCTATATATCCACCTACATCTAGGCGCATGCTCTCGTGATCACCCCCTTAACTTGCGGTGAACCAAAATTAGTGGGAAAGGGTGAGAAGGTTTGACGAATATGACCCGCTGGTCGTGACATGAGTACTGTCACAATCCGTTGCATGCAATGTCAAACTCTTGCTGACAGACAGTGGCACATACTTGCGGATGGTTATATGCCACTGGTATACGGGTATGCGCCACGAGAGATTGACATTTATGTCGACCCATGAATGGCGACAACGCGCATTGGTAATGCAAATGCAAGACCCTGAAGAAAAACTAACTTCGGCAGCGTTGACCTAACGAACATCAGGGTCCAAGCAGGAACAGAACCCTAGCATTCTGCGTCGAAGTCAAGTATCCTACCACAGGGCCACGGCACCTCTCGGTACTGATTTGGAAATAGTTTTATAAGGAATATGTATGTAATGCTGTAATACTGCCGTATCGTCAGATTAAATTTGGTTTTAGCAAAGTGTCGTCCACTGAACTTAATTTATACAGCAGTGTGAAGCCGTACCGTCATCACAAACACAAGCGTTACGTATCAGCTAGCCGCTTCTAGTGTTCCTGATAATCAAGTTGCTGTTGGCAGCGTTTCCAGACGGATAACAACTGGTTATTTAAATATGCGTTTTACATACATTTTTACAACAATTTAAATATATTTGGCATCATTTCGTAATGTGTCGCTCAATATCAAAAATGGCGATACGGTCACCTTCTTTCCGCGTGCTTCGCATAACGTCGATACCCAAGGTACGTGGCATTGGCTATTTTTTATTTTTTTTTTACATTGACTACTACAGAGCTTATTTATTTCTAAGACTACGTACTGCTGGCGCCACGAAATGTGCCACGAAGACTGGAAACGCTAGGAGAGAATATCACTTTCATTTTGTTTGCAGGCTGTTTAGGAGCGATTCAGCAATTATGTCAAAAGAGGCAGCCCTTGCCAAGCAATGGCGATATCGGCTGATTCCTGTACTGTTCTTTTAAAAAAAGGAACTATCAATTTTTCGCTTTCTGTTGAAGTACCCAGCTGACGTGTTTCGAAAAAAATGGAAGGCCTATATTGAGCAAAAACAAAAAAAAATCACAGAATATTCATTGAGTGAAAGGTAATGAGTGGGCGAAGTGTCCACCAGTCCATCCACGCTTCTGTCCATCCGAGCGTCCATCCGTTCATCCATCCATCTTTCTGTCCGTCTATGCATCCGTCCATGCGTCCATCCATGTGCCTGTGCATCACACAGACAGATGGACGATAGATGGACGCGGCCAGCGGATGATTTACGGTTGGCCGATAGAACCCTCCGAAGCTTCGCCCCACTCACCATAATTCACTTCATCAGTATGCTGCCAGGTGGTTGCTACATATATCCATATATACAGATGACGACCGGCCCACACCTTGAGGAGCTTCACCCGTAAAAAAGCCACCCCCAAGTAATCCCTACAGCAGGGTGACCAACAAGGTAGAAACGTCAGGCTCCGGCACGTGGCTAATTTTTGTTTTCAAAGTTTCAAACTTCAAACTTTATTCAATATTGACAATATTAATTTACAAAAAAGTGTTTGCAAGATTAGTAACACTTAGGGAGCTTAAAGTTAAAAATTGTTGGTGGGAGGGGGAGGCTTCCATACAAGATGTGGACTAAAAAAGAAGATATACATCATTCAGTAGTTACAGTGTCTTCGGTGAGAAAGAAAATAAACAGAGCGAAAATAAATACAAAAGCAAAAATAATTATATGTTGAACAAACATAAATCAAAACGTAGCACTGAATAAACAGTCAGAAGGTACAATGCAATACAGGAAGCAATAGAACATGTCCCTAACAAAAAGAAATTGCCAGGATGAAGACAGTAGTTGCAAAAAGTATTTCTTTACTTGGTTTCTGAATGCACGTTATCTGCTTTATGATTTAATAATGTAAGGAAGAGAATTTCATAGCTTGATTCCCATAGACGTGCTAGTGAACTTGCCGTAGCTCATGCGAATCTTAGGCAGAAGGCGATTATCCAGCTCAGAAAACATAGTAACATTGTTATTTACGAAGTTATCCACAATAATGCCATCAATATGTACAATACCACAAAAAAGCTTACACAAAACAATGAATAACTTCAGCTGAAATAGTTCATGAGATGAACAAGATGGATATTTGAATTCCGATATAATTGCATTGTATCGGTTAAGAAATGACTGAATGTCATGTAACGAAGTGCTTGATTTTGTATGCGTTGAAGTTGGTGTAGGTGGGTGAAATATTCGTTGCCCAAGGCAGATATGCAATAAGCTAGATGGCTGTGAATAATTCGTTATAAGGGGAATGGGTGTTGCATCGTATCGGTCAAGAAATGACTGAATGTCATGGGACAAAGTGCTTGATTTTGTAAGCGTTGAAGTCGGTTGAGGTGGGTGATATATGTGTGGCCCAAGGCTGATATGCAATAACATAGCTGTGAATAATGCGTAATGGGTAACATTTGGCTGAAAATATGTACGAGATTTGATTATGGTGCGTATTACGTAGATTATGTTGGAAAAAATTGATTGCAAATGAAGATTGAACTTCACGTTACTGTCTAGGACTATCGCAGGAAACTTTGCACGATCAGATATTTGTATTAGGTTATCGTCCAAACGTACAGGTACAGATTTTGAATGTACTGTCGGTAAGTAATGCAATAACATAAAAACGGTTTTGGATGTATTAATCTTTCGTTCTTTTGACACCAAGAGCTTATATTATGTAGATGAACATTATTTTTCGTAGTAGGTCATCGGTGTCATTAGTGCAAGTGAAAATGGAAGTGTCATCTGCATACAAGGTACAGTCTCGTCAAAAGACTGCTCAAATTATATTTCTTCCGGTACACTAAAGCTAGATTCACATGCGAGAGCTGAATCCCGCTGCTCCGTAGATCGAATAGTCTCGTGATTAGTTTCATCTGGCGCAGCAGCGGAAGACGTCGCCTGCACACAGCCGGAGCTACACACGCGGAATCCTCGTGCATACTCTCGACTCCTATGTTTATGCAGCGCGCTAATGTGGTCATGCAGGCCACGCGCTGTGAATGAAAATCGCCAATCCACCATCAAAACCACCTCCCCCCCCCCAAAAAAAAAGAAAAAAAACACTCGCCTCTTCCGCTGTCTTACGAAACACATTCGGTCGCTGCCGTAAAACTAAAACATATGGATTTTCAGCCGGCAGCCTGCTACCTATAGCCACGCCAATCCGACCGATGTTGCCAGACTTGACGCCGATTCTTCTCGATCGACGGGAGACGACCGTCAAACGGAGAGATCGAAATAGCGGCGACACATTTCCATCCCTGCCGCGAGTGGGGGAGAGCGGACGAGGCGAGGACGGCACGTTTCGATGACGCGCAAGTCACGTGATGCGCCATCCGTTGCGAAAATTCCTCCTCCGTTCCCTCGTGTGCATACACCTTAAAGGGTATCTCTTTCTTACGGAGACAAGGACGTCACTAACTGTGCAGAAAATGGCGCACCTCTATTATATTTTCGGTGATTTTTTATTCGCTCCATATTCACCCCTGCTTTGTTTTTTTCATTCATTTATATTTGTGGCCCAATGGTGAGCAGTAGGCTCACCGAATTTCTGTAGCTCAAAGGCCCTAAGCACCTTTTAGTACTTACTTTGGCATCGCTATGCACTTTCCATACTTTCACCCAGCCATATATAGCATTCCTCTAAGAGACGTCAACCAGACGCTCGTGGGTAATTGCAAAAGCACTTAAAACAATCTGAAAATATGCCTGAAGACTGGCACTGTGGGCGAAACACCAAAATTGCTGTACGTTATTTTCCAGAGATGCTAAGCACCCACCTTTGTTTTATATACTCGTACAGAGCTGAAAAGTCGCCATTTTATGCAAAAGAAAAGTGCCTTCGTTAGATGACGAATTGCTCCCATTCGAGCGACACCATTATGTGGAAATTAGATTGCACCTAGAGCGCCTGATTTCCATGCAAGGAGTACGTGTTTTGGGAGTCATTGATGACTTTTAATAATCTCAAAGAGTATTCGACAAATGCCTAATTTTAAGAGAATATTGCAGGAGGTTTACTTACTACTGGTTGTAGTAGTGTATTTAGGTATTTCTCATTTTTATGCATATTGCATTTACCATTGTAATGTAAATTTCTAAGATGTACCTGTGCAGCAATGGTAGAGCAATTTAATATACCTAACGACTGTGGTCGTTAGGTATATTCCATGCTGTTCACTCAAAGTGTTTTTCATAAGCTTATGTACGTTTCTGTTTGACGAATTGCAGCTGATCTTTGAAGCTGTGCTTCTCTACGGTGGTGGAGGCCTGATTGCCATTGACAACTTGGTCCTCAATGACACTAGCTGCGCTAGCGACAAATGTACGTAAACATTTCGTTCATCTATCGTAACTATGATCTTCAGTGAGGTTAAAAGTTTCCAGGGCACGCTCTCATTGGAATACATGGTTAGTGGCCTGGGAACTTTTGACCCCACCCTGTATTTTTTCAGAGCTCACAAAATATCGTCAGTGAACATTGCATTACTGGTATGCTAACTGCACCTTTCTTCAAAATATATATATTCGCTGTAGAAAATACTGTCAATAAATGAAACTATGATAAAATTTTGTTGCCTTGGCCTAATCAACTTTTTTTTAAAAAATATTAATTTTGACAAAATTGAAAGATTTGTCTTTTTTAGGGTGAATATACTATGGAAGCTATATTTTTAAACAAATTGTTGGCCATATGCTAACTAAAGGCCTGAACAAAGATTTGCAAAGAACATTACAGTGTTTATGCAGGCCATTGCATTGAATGATCAATGTTATTCTGTAGTGAATTATTCAACGGAAACAGGAGCAAACAAATGCAGTATATGAGCTCGACAGGTATCATTAGCCAATAATAAACTCTGCTTACGGTGTGAACACAATAGGATTCATAGATATTCATTGTATTTTGCATTGCACTGATCGTTTTATCGTCGGATTTTCGACATCCAAACTCACTGTAGGATGAACAATTCCACTGAAATGTGAAGCCATTGAAAGTGAATTTGTTACACCTATCTGAAAAAAAAAATATCCTTGTCAGTATCGATGCTATTTTTTAAGACTGCAAGTCGTGGAGCAGAGGTTATTACCCTGTATTTTCTCTAAGTCAGATCAGTAGTCATGATTCTCCTTCCGGCTTCTTATGGCATCAAAGAAACATGAATAACCTTAACATATTAATCGGTAAGGTGTTTCTAGGAAGGCACACGTGCACTTTCGTTAGGGGATTGCTGTTATATGTAGTATTTATTATAGGTGGAGGAAGCTACCCTCACGGCCGCTTCTGCTTCATGTTTACCGATATCAGTGAACCAAGGTGTCTTCACTAGCTCCACCAGATTTGATTACTTGCTAAATATTTTCCAGTAAAGGACTGCAATATTGATTCCTTAAGTCTTAATTCTTTCATGCATAAAACTCCATTCTTGGGAGGACCCAAAGTTTAATTGTAAAAAAAGACGGAATCTTTACCAGGAGCAGATTTTCTCACAAAAAACGAAAATTCTAAATTTTAGTTCAAAAAACATAAGGGGGTCACCTGAGGTCACCACCTTGCAGTTAAAGTGTACTGGTCACTTTCAGTGAAGAATCGGAAAGAAGGCCTTCTTTTGCCGCAGGATCAAAGGGGCAACATAGGTAGCGCACATCCATCCAAATATTCAGGGCACTTGTATATATCACCGAGAACAGCTTTGTTAGAGTGATATAAAATAATATAAATCACCACTCTAAAAGCCTTCGAGCATAGTGGCCATTCCAGATGATAATCTTGAGCGTCATGTAGAGAGTACAGCTTTTCATCTCTAGATTCCTTGTTGTTAAAAACTCGGACTTCATGATTACCGACTTTATAAAGATAACAAGGGCAAAGCATAAGTAGTACGCTTGTTGTGGGCTGAAGGTGACCTGTTGGACAATGCAGAGGGTCGATGTCAGGAATCGAAGAATCCAAGACAGTTCGAGAATATATGTTGGGGGCTTGTGGGTGGCTACTCGCCAGTAACCACTGCGACGCCATTGTCGGACTCCTGCAGTACTTATCTGCTTCGAAGGGTCATGGGTCCTGGTGTGTTTACGTACTTTGATGACTGCTTTGCGCGACTGCGTCCTTGAAACGAGAGAATTAGATAATCGGGAGGCAACGCCCTCGCCCTGAACCAGCTGTTCTTATTCTGTTCTGAGCCGTTGGTCAGCGCACAACCCACAACCTCTGCTGTTCTGCCTCATCGTCTTTAGTCATCACAATACAAATGTGCGTATTCCCACAAGCCTGTGCTGCTGATGGCGCTCGATGGTGTTTTGTTTAGTTTTGTCACCTAAAAGGTCTTGGCTCATACCCACTAGGGGATTGGCCACACTGCATCTTATAACGCAAGTTTAGAAACCATCCTTGTTAAAAGAGAGAGAAATCAGATCAGAACAAGAAGAAGAATAGCTTACATTAAAAAAAGACAATAAAACGTGAATAGGAAAAAGCATCAAAAACCACATTTCAAAATTGGCAATTATCTGGTGGTACCACTAGCAGGGTATTCTTCCGGTAGTCTGAATGAATTTATGTAGTGTGGACAGAATAGCGCTGTGGCCCGCACCCAACTGACTGGCTCCCAACGATAAAAGAATGGATGCAATAAGTGCCAATTTCAACATACCATTCAGCCCCTCGAGAATTATTCGGTGAAGTGGTGTATCAGCAGCTGCTGAGCGCGAGTTGCAAGCATGCCAGCGTTCATTGTTCTCTTCTTCTGTGGTCAGCCCACTCGCAGCTACCGCTCCCATAATGTTTATCACCAGTCTACGTTGACCACGAACTTCAGTAGCACGGTGCTCTGTACTGGCTCAGTACAGCCCTTTATTTCTATATTTCTAAGCATTAGGTATTTATGAAACGTGTTCTTCTGCACTATCAACATAATAGAAACAGCACATACTTTTATATCTACAAAAGTATATCGGATCCACCGTCTAGCGCGCCCTAAGAACGATGCAGCTGGAATAAAGCCTGAAAAGTAGCATCTCCCATTAAAGCCCAAAGTAAATAAATTAGCTCTCTCACACTGTCAAAAGCTTTAAAAAATGCGCCATTCAAAATGCGACTCGTGGGGCTCAAGTGTTTGCACAGGAAAAATTGGAGAAAATTGGTTAGCCTAGGAATCACGGTGTTGAAAAGAGTTAACTGTGTTCTATTTCCAGTACCCAGAATACTTAAAGCTTTGTTTTCAGTGGTGAGCTCAGTAGGGTTCTTCCAGCTCAAATGAGCTTTCTCTTTCTAATATTTGTTTCACATCTTCGCCTCCTGATATGTATTTTTTACTGCTAGGCACAACCCTGATAAGTTCTCTCTCTCTCTATCTGTATGTTTTGCGTACCACAATTAGAGTTTTTGCTGAACCGTCACTGTATTTAGTCGCTACACGTACAGGTGCGGTTGATCTCCGCTCCTTAATAGTGTAGAATATATTACCGTTACTTTCCTTCTGTTTTTAATATGTTTGGTGAATTGCGAATCCGTAACAATGCAATCGCATCATTTAGAAGTCTTCTTCAACGGATTCGTGGTGTTTTTAGTTTATTATGAGCATTGCGGACTGGCGTAAGTGAAATGCAAGGCATAGAACGACTAACAGGGAAAGCGATACCACTGCGTGTACATACATTACACTTAAGTTATTTGCAGTATAAAGATAAACCTATTATAAACACTACTTCAATGTGTAGAAAACGTTTTGCTAGGGCAAAATTTGCCCGCTCATTAAGCAATGAATGCAAGCTTCCAGAATTTCGTTCTCAACTATTGAACATAGCAGGAAAGCCCCTGTAGACTCAACATTATAGCATATCCCCTAATACTGCAAAAGTAAGCATAGGTTTTGTATACTTATCAGCTCATATAGCAATAATTACTTATTTTCCTAAAGTAACGATATAGTCGTGGTTTTAGAATTGTAGTCAAAGATGATGGTGAACATTTGAAAGCACCACTAAGTTGAAAGGCAATATTCGTATACCTATAAACAAAAAGTCAAAGCTTTGCCACAAAGGTGAAGCAATTAACGCGATAGCAACCAATTGAAAGGTCACACGCAGAATGGAAAGCAGATTGAAACGTGCCCCACGTTTCTCACGCACAAAGAACGCACGAAACGTACTCACATGTACAGATGCACGCGAATAAGCGTCTCAATTGTTACTTCACTATGTGTAAAAAACGCGCGCTATTCGCAAATGGAGACTGCAATGATTGCAGAGACCTTTGTGCGCCCGGTAACTACAACAGAATCGTTCCAGGTAAAGCCCGAAGTTATCCAAGACGTAAGATCCTCCCCTACTTACCACCGCGAGATAAGGGTGCGCGAGGGAGCGTCGCTCTCCCCCTCTAAGCGTGGCACAGTACGCGTGGGAAATTGGAGGGTGCGCCGCCGTGCGATGTGGCGACGCGCACTCATTGCGCCATCTTGTGGGTAATGCTGAAAGCACAAGAATTCTCCCCTGAGATGCCTGTAAGCAGTGGTAAGTAGTAGGTATAAATAGCTTGCCGTTTGAATGGTGAACGACGTGCTCCCCAGTAGCTAAGTAGTTAACCCCTCGCGCTCACAATTGAGAGGACCGAAGTTCGATTCCGCGCACCGGAGTCGCTTCTGGTTTTTTTTTCTTTCTTGCATTTCCATGTAGATTCGTATACATAAACAGTAAGTGACGTCGACGTTGGCGGCGAAATCCAGCCGAGAGTGTCCATATAAATACTATCGCTATATTATTTCTTATATGTGTTACGCACCCATTCACAATACCAGAACCAGGGAACTTGTCAAAAAGAACACCCGGGCGGCGCTGCGACTGTTATTTCTTGCACATGCTCGCTTATTCAAGAAAAATGAAGTACATTTATCTCCACCTGAAGGAATGTAGCCAAAATAAGAAAAATCAGTTTAAACTTTCTAGCGTCAAGTTCAATTTCATTTGCATTTATTTAGGCGAGTTGTTTGCGAAACAGAAAGTTTTACCTTCATAGCCCTGTTTATTACGACTGTGATGATAGAAACAGCCGCTATGGAGTTTGCGAACTGTCATTTATGACGCTATGTTTTCTTGTGCCACTGTAGTGCATCTTGAATGTGATGTAACATAGCTCTAATCGCAAGGTTGTGATATAGGCTAACGAAGCAGCTAGTACGGCTTGTGGGGATTGCGGTAACTATTCACAATTTTCTACTGTGCAACGTTTTGCAGATGGAGGTTGCAACTTCGAGTCTGACTCGTGTGGATGGCAACTGAACAACTGGGAGCGCACAAGCACCAGCAGGAGCCTTAAGCCTACCAGTGATCACACCACCCAGTCACCCACAGGTGAGGCTGGCATAGGGGTCTCAAGTTACGCCTATCAACTAGACTTCAAGTATTTCTTAGATGTACATTTTACGTATCACTTATCAGAGAACAATACTATCGCGTTGTTGCGTTGGTGCGGAATACGGTAACCAAAAGCATATGTGGAGGAGTGGCCGTTTCGTATGACGAACTTTAGTGGTCAAAAATAAAAAGAACACTCAACATTCACAGATAGAGGCAAGCGCAGTAGTCGGTCACCAGGATTCTGATTAATTATCTAAATCCTGAATAAATATGATACTATTCTGAACACGGCAGATATTTAAAAATGAGTCGTGGTGCGCTCCGGCATCACCATTGGTGATCGCGTACAGTCAGAGTGACTTTAACCATCCACGTGATGCATACAATCTAACCGCATTATTTGAGCAACTTACAATACACTAGTCTAGTACGGCTCGCGCAACGTGATAAGACCAGTCTCGATTCGCTCCAATTAATCTCAATAACCATGAGAAAACTGGGGCAGAGCACCGCATGTAAGATGGGCGTTTCAGGTCTGCTAATGTCACCCAGCTATGTGGTGGGATGTTGCCTTCTTTATTTTCATGAGCCAGTTTCAAGCAGCAGGATTTACCCTGTGGTTGTGGCGCACACACTTTTTTATCATGAAACGTGACCAGATGATGCACATTGGCCTTAGACGTCAAGTAGCCAATACACTAAAAAAGTTTTTTGCCACGCCATGATGACGTGACGATTTTTGTCACGAATTTTTTGGACTTTGTGTAGTCGTGATGCCATAATAGGATGACGTTACCGCGTTAAGCTAACTTTATGGCGGACGTCGGCTACATGAAATACTATGACGAATAAGCAGATCATATACCCTACGGATTGTATACTCTGTTTCACCACTTTGGTTTGACACTGCCAAAGCTAAGGGGCAGAGAAACGTACTCCCACATACAAGTACCTTGAAAGTGGCGGGGTTGGCTAAAGTTGACGTTTCTTTGGTGTGTTTTACACCACATCGATACGTGATATTTTTGTTCTTCTTTGCATTACTTAATAACGCATTTAATAATTGTTGTCGGTTACCGCCGTTAGCTGTGTTTACAAATAAACAAGGCAGCACCCATGCAGAAGTGACTGCCCGCTTCAATCCGTACTTGCTCTTGCTATACGCCCACTGCGCTGGAAGCAGAAAACAAATGGTGAAATCACCCATCGATTCGTTTTATTTCACTCTCGTACTAAAGATGCAAGTACGTTCTGTCGATAGTAGCGAGATATGCTGCTTGCTTAGACGCACCTGCTAAGCCTAACGCGCCGCGACAGTGTTTAACCGAGAACGTTTCATCTCCAAATATTGTACATGCAACCTCGCACAGCATTCCGTGCGAGTCAGATCTTTTTTTCTGTGGAAACAAAAAGAGATAGAAGGAGCATTGCAGCAGGTGACGCGAATGAACGCGTCGACGGAGAAACAGACATCCGAGAACCACGAACAGGGTCAGAGAGAAACCGACACTGAGTGAAGTTATGCGCCGGTTGAAATTCTACCGATCGTCAGCAGAGCAACAAATCCGCGGTTCTTTAGCTTTCTCGTGTAGTTTTTTTAATAGCTTTACTGCATTTTTAACTTAATAAACTAGCCATAATACCTACAATTCATTGAGCAGACGCTGTGAATACAGTGAGCAGACGGCACGGCGCGAATGAAAACAGGGAAGGGCTACGCGCCCTTCTTATTGGCTGAAGAGCGCTCTACAGTGCTGAAGGAAACTTCTGAAACAGAGTATAAAAGATGTAATTTGTATTCAAGAAGCCTTCTAGGGGCGAAACTCCTTAAGCCGAGGGTCATTCGTCATCGATGTATGTAGTTGTAAGTAGCCACTTCTCGTTTATTTGTTGGAATGTCCGCTACACGGCAGTACTTGTATGTGATAAATAGGCAGCCTAGATGTGCGCTCGTCTCCGTGTTTTAAAACACGGAGACGCACGCACATGTAGGCTCTCTAGTGATGAATATATGATGAAAAAATGCGATGGCGGTACTATGAGTGTTCACTAGTTGGACGGACGCCCAGACTTGTAAACGACGGTAACGTGGAATTGTCGAAGTCTTAGACTACATCGTGCGAAACGACCAGAGGGATTGTTCGAGTTAGCTTGCCAGCACAGGGCGTGTTGGCGCTCACAACTTTGAAGGGCCTTACGTACAGGTACGGGCGAAACTTTGACGTTGCACAGACGATAGCAAGGCACTGTTTTTCTGTTGTGGAATAGTTGCCTTCTGTCTTTGATAGCGACCGGCAGGCGTAACTGACAACCCTTTCTTCTGCGTTAGACTTCTGCGCAAGAACCGCACTGAGACCTACGCTGCAGGCGTCGGGTTCTGTTTCTGTACGACCGTATTCGTCAAAATGTGCAAGTATCGGAGGAGTTTGCAGGTGTCGTTTCAGTTTCATAAATGCTTCAACTTGCACCGCTCTTCATTCGAATTCGATATCGGCCTCCGTGAGCTGCGTCAGTGGCTTAGTGACCTGCAAGAAATCTTTGACGAAGTGTCTGTAATACGCGCACAAGCCGAGAAACTTGTGCATGGCCTTGTTGTCGTTGGGTGACAGGAACGTAGCGATGGCATATGTTTTCTGTGGGTCTGCGTGCACTCCAGTCTTGCTGATCACGTGACACAAAACAGAAGGTCCTTGCACGCGCAGCAGCTTTTTTTCTTTGTTAAGGGTAAGTGCGGAACTCCTGACTGCTTGAAGTACGGATTCAAGGCGCTGAAGGTGTTCGTCGAAACTCGAGGAAAACACAATGACACCTCCAAGTAAACGACGCAAGTTTGCCATTTCAAGCCAGCCAGTACTATATTCTTGATTTCTTGAAGCAAAGCGCATAACCTTGAACTCAAACAGGCCATCCGGTTTTATGACGTCAACGTTTTTTTCTCTGTCTCTCTGTCGACATCGATTTGCCAATAGCCGGTTTTGAGGTTCATTGAAGAACAGTACCTCGCATTGTGGAGCTGGTCGTCTATCTGTGGAAGCAGGTCTTTCTTCATGACCTGGTTTATAAGCGATAGTCGATGCAGAAGCTTAGAGCTGCGCCCTTCTTCTTCACTAACACCATTGGAGACGCCCATGGACTTTGAAGGCTAAATGGTGTCCCGTAGCATTTAGTCGACTTGTTTCTTTTTGGCCTTGTGTTCTCGCGTCCAAACTCTGTACAGACTCTGACGTAGTGGCCCGGAACTTCTGTTACTATTCGATGCCTCGCGAGCCACGCCACCGTGGTTTAGTGGCTAAGGTACTCGGCTGCCGACCGGCAGGTCGTGGGATCGAATCTCGGCTACGGTGGCTACATTTCCGATCAAGGTTAAAATGCTGTGGGCCCGTGTGCTCAGATTTGGGTGAGGGTTAATGAACCCTCGGTGGTCGAAATTTTCGGAAACCTCTACTATGGCGTCTTTCATAATGATATGGTAATCATAATCAAACGGAAACTCACATCACATTGATACACACACGCACTGATAGCGACGAGCATAGCGTCGGCCGTTGATAAACTGACAAGCGGTAAATTGCGTCAGCATTTATACAAGTGTCCTTATCACTAGAGGCCACGCAAGTTGTAGAATATTTTGTGATGCTCGCTTTGGGTGCGTAACCTTAACAAAACGATCTGCTAAAGTCCTGAAGTTTCTCGGGCACTGCGGGCGTGGTTTGCTCTGATCATTACTTACAGTACAAAGGGCCACATTAAAACTGCACGAGAAATTTTGGGAATATGGAGGTTGAATGTTTTAGTGGCACGGAGTATCGTACGCATAGCTATTGTAAATGTGGCCTTTTACAGCATAGATGTTATGCTCGAGGCTGTCGTGTGTCACATATACAAAATTATCACAATGAACCGCCTCGCACTGACGTCGTGCTCCGCTTCATCTTCATCGTGTTCTTTCTTCCTATCCTGCTTCGCTCACGGAACATGGACCCCGATGTGACAGACGTACACTGCGATAACCTAGATGTCGTGACAAAACGCGTGCTCAAATAAAGGGAGAGAAAGAAAAAAGTAATAGAGAGAGCTTCGTGGCAAAAAAAAATTCTTTGCAAGATTCAAAACTGCATAAACTGTCAAGGTATGCTAGAAGTTCGAATCATAGCCTCGCTTGGTATACTGTACCATGCAAAGGGGAGAAAAAAGGAAGTCATGGTGAGAAGAAGGAAAAGGAGGAGTACGAAAAGAAAGGTAGTGGTGAGTTACTGTGGAATTGTGAAACTGTGAATGTATTCCTAAATAATGATTGCCACGTGTAAATTTTGCTCTGCTCATAGTGTAAATAATTTTTTTCTAAACGAGATTTCTAATTCTAAACAACGAAAAGATTTTGTCTACTGTTTGGTGGATGCTTCATTTGTTTATTATTGCAACTTCTGTTTCAAGCTTCATAAGCCATATCCGGCATATATAAATTAACGCCTTCGTATGCCCAAGCATTTCTTTCGCCACTATTGCAGATGTATAATTTTTAGTTGAGCAAGACGGCCTTGCAAGTAAGAGCCTTTAGTGAGTTTAAACTTTGTACATATTGTGACATCACGGTAGCCTCAAGTCAATACGTAAATATTGCTTGAATAGATCAAAAACTTTGTCCCTGTAGGAAGTAGTGCATTGAAAGGGTTTCAAATCAGCGGCGCCGAAAGAATACGGAAAGTAGAATTACCCCCATTTAGCTTCATTCAGACAAATTTTTAGTTGCCAGATTGACACGACATGAAAGCCTTTCTGCTTTTTCTTCCATAAAGCGAAACTAATCGAGGACGATTTTTCGCGCATACTTTCTGTTCGATATCACAGGCCGATTCGTGCTGGCAAAGGCTCCTGGTGGCCGCATGGTGAGCCCTCAAAATTGGTATGATGCTACTCAGCCGATGTGTTTCCGCTTCTGGTACTTCCTCGCCGGTTCAAGTGCGGAAAATCTCAAGGTCACTCAAGTGGTCAACAAAGATCGTGAGGTCACGCTATGGAATGATGCCCCATATCAAGACAACAGCAAACAGTGGCGTCAAGCATCCGTTAACCTACCCGCATACAACAAAACACCTACAGTAAGTTCATCTGTGCTCCTTCTAATTTGCCTGTGGCAAAATTGTTCGTTAGTTCCTTCATGTTGACTATTCAAATGTTCTTCAGCACCATAGAGTTTTTTTATAAATACACTACAGAAAGCTCTCGCGCTAGTGCCTATGAGAGCTTAAATGCATGGCTCTTCATAGCACATGAGAATGATGGGTAGACCATGAATTTGCCTATATTTCGTGCTTTCGTATGCCTGCGCTCGGCTTCGCGGGGTTGAAGCAGCTCTGTCAAGAAACAACAATTATAAATGATTCATCTGTTTCACTTCATCACACAACATTGTTACGCTTCATCACTGGTCATTTAAAATCGACTCTCCGAAGGCACAGTGGTTCATTCTTTTATTCGAAAGAAAGCCAAACATCGCCATAAACAGTCAGTAGTTCGTTCACAGCCCGCAAGTATGAAGAATATAGGCTAATTGGTGTACTACCCATCAGTTCCACGGTTGCTGAATAATCGCAGCGCCAGAGTCGCCTCTAGTTATTTTAGGAAGCTCTCTATTCGACACCACACGGAGTTGCATTTTTTCAGAAAACATAAAAGGTATGGCGAGATAGAGGCTTTGATTTTGAATGTATAAATATTTAAACGCTCATATAAGCGAACAAATCAGGCAGATCGTACGCACTGCGCATCAACGTTATGCGAACTAGTCACGATTGCCTGGGCGGTATTGTTTCGTTTGCAGCCAGGAGCAATATTTTTTTTCAGTGGACTGTAGTCAACATCGACGAGGCTTTGAAATATCAAATGGACTATTACGTATAAAAGGTAGATTATCTTCAGACGTAAAGTCGCCTCTGATGTCCGGGCATACAGCCAACAACATCATGTTTTTTTTTTCTTCAAGCACAGGCTTTGAACTAAGGTGGTATGAACGCACGTGGCGGTGTGCACAACTGGGTATTATAAACACCCGTTTTGGGGCATTCCTGTGGATTTGAAGAATTTTAGACGCCACAGAAATTTTTTAATTTCTAATTAAGCCTAGCTGTATCTTCTGTTTACCAAGGTTTTTTAATGATAGGAAGTCTTGTATATTTATGGAAGGGGTGCAGACAAACATGTGTGGGTGACTGGGGCAAAAAATGTTCGATAAAGTACGCATGATTTCAAACAACTTTGCTTTTGTACATGACATGCTATGTTTTACTAACGTAAAATAATAATGACACAACTCTTCCTGTAACAAATCATAAGTGAGCAATGTAGAAGTATCGATGTAACAATACCTATGACTACGTTGAACGTTTTTGGTAAGTTTTTAAAGGGCATACCTAACATAATGTTTTTTCTGCTCTATATACAATATATCAATTTGTTGAAAGCATGAACAACACACTCCTTAGCCAATTAAAATGGAAATCAAGAATAAGTTTTTTTCAGTTCCACATACACACATCCGTACACACCGGAGCTTTTCGCATCTTCCAGTTCAGTCTACTGTCGTGGGTTAGTATGCTAGATGTGTCAAAACCGCAAATGAATGCAGTTGTACGGTGTTTTGAAATCCTTACTTAGCACTTTGCGATTGCTTGCGTCAGGCCTTCTAATGTTTATGTATAGTTTGGGCTCCCTGGAAGAACCCAGCATTACAACAAGAGGGGCAATATACAAAATATGCATTTCTGTCTGCGCAGATTGTGTTTGACGCCACAACATCTTATGCCGCGGGAGCAATTGTAGCCGTAGACGACATCAGCCTCGGCAGTGCTCTTTGTCCTTCTCCCGGAAGCTGCTCCTTCGAGGAGGACATGTGCGGGTGGATTACTAAAAAGATGAACAGTGCGCAGTGGTACCGGCACCGGGGTGCAACAGCACTTAACACAACAGGTGTAAAGAATGACCACACCTTGGGAACAGACAAAGGTGAGACGCTCCCTATTTTCCCTGATCTGCTGTTGTTTCCTAAGGCTTTCAAGCTGAAGGAAACGCTCGTCTTTCTCTGTCCCTTTATCCGCCATCTGGAGCTTTTTCATTACAGTGTTCTTCAATACAAGTAGCTTATGGCACTGTCATTGGAAGCCTTTGGAATTGAAATTTTATGCAACCATGCCATGTCTCTCGCACAGCTCATGCTAGAGCTCAAGACACAATTAAGACAAGTAAGAGCTCGCGCTCATGTTGGTCTAGACGCCGCAGTCCACGGCGGCTTCCTTTAGCCGCAAAATAAATTGGTGAGATCGCAGCGCGGCTACGTCGGCCGACTTCTCGAGGTATTTCTTACTCTCTTGTTGCTCCTCACCCTTTTTCCCGTGCGAGCTGATTCCCTTTATCCTTGTGATATGTCATTTAGAACATGTTGGAGATGCCTGCTTCAAAATTCGCGTTCGGTGACGTTCACTTCAGCGATATTGCGAAGAACTAGGTAACTTTATCGGCAGTGATTCATGCTGAGCCAGGTATCATCCTTGGATCTGCATACTGAAAAAACCTTATAGAATCAGTGCAAGCTTTGTATACCCCTCGAGACAGCGTGTGTTCGCAACATACATAAACATCCTGGATGAAATCTACAGGGGATCAACTGCCACTATAGTGTTACATAAGGAAACCGACAGTATTCCGATATAAAGGTGTAAGACAAGGGGATACCTAAAGAAATAAAATAAGAGTTCTACATATGTTGAGGACGACGCCCTGAGCAATGAAAAGTTATAGGTGTTCTAAGGAACAAGGAGATGACAGAGTGTATCGTGGTACAAGCAGGCGTTAAGTACATGGCATTTGAAGTCAACAAGAAATGGCCATGGGCCGGGCAAGTAGCGCGAAGGCAAAACAAGCACTGGTAATTAACGTTCACAGACTAGATTCCAAGAGGACTCAAGTGTGTGAAGAAGAGACAGAAAGTTAGGTAGGCGTATAAGATAAGAAAGTTTGTGGATATAAAGTGGCAGCAGACACAGGACCAAAATGACTGGCGGAAAACGGAAGATCTTTCGGTCCTGCAGTGGGCGTAGTGATGATGATGATGATGATGATGATGATGATGATGATGATAGCAATGATTCCTCGTAATAGCTTCTGCGCACTCACGGAGCGTCTCATTTCCATCTCCAAGAGATGTATAGCATCGCTGCAAAACGCAGTCATAAAAATGTTCATGAAGAATGATATTTATTGTTTTACAACCTAAAGAAATTTTCCTAGCAATTTTGATTTACTTTACTTTGATGCAAGCGGTGACTTTTCATTGCACCCAGGAAGCAAAAAAAGAGTTGTTTTGACATTTGGTGGCAATGCGAGGGTCGACAATGGGTAGCGAAAAACTCAGAAAAATTCGCGTTAAGTTCGAGTGAATACGATATTTTCTACGTCATCTAATAACAACTGAATTTCACCAAGAGTAACACACAATAATACGGCCGTAACTTGATTCTGGCAATCTTACCATCGATTGTTTGTATTTGCTACTGTATATAGTAACAAATGACCTTGGCTTTCGACCTTTCGTTTCTCACAGTGATTGTTCCACCGTTCTTGGCTTTCCAGGGTACTACCTGCTCCTCGACGCAGCTGACACGGCTAGTTCTGCCTCCGGCAGTCTACAGAGTGAAATGTTGGCCCTGGGTTCATCAGTGTGCTTCAGCCTTTACTATTGCATAAAAAAGAACTGTGAGTATTTTTTAACGAAGCATGGATTCGGAACAAATAATGGTGCAATTTGTTGTCAAGTAGTTGAAAGAGACGCAAGTCATTGGTGACAATACTCAAAGTCAATAAAAATCACAAAAAGCGAACTCACTTTTCACTAAGCTTCTGCATACATGTTAGCATAACATATTTCAAGTAGTTAGTTTGCTCTATGTCTGTTTCTACCACTTCTCTATAGTACGAAACATTTCCTAATTTTGTTAATTTCTCCGGCTATAACTGCACTATAGTTGTTAACAGCTTGTTAAAAGCTTGAATTTTCAAACTGCTGCCTTATTTGTGGGCCCTCAGGCATTCTCAAGCGCTTTTTTAGACGAGTTTTGCTTGGTGGGCTCCCAACTTGTTGAAAAAAAAACATGTGAGAATTATTGGACATAAATAAATAATCATTATCGCTAGGCTAATATGGCCATCATCACCATCATTCTTGTCAAGTCTCCTAAGGACATATTCAACGAACTTCGGATAGACCAAATTCAAAGTACGAAAGACGAGCCGAGTGTTTTAAACTTATGTGCTGAATAAAGCAAGCTCTCATGGGAATCATTTAATAGAAACTTTCAAATACAGACACAAAACACTAAAATGTCTGTTTTCATGTTTTTCACGCTCTGCCCACTTGAACATTCGCTGCTCTCGTGTGTAGTTTCCCATGTGCAGCTTCTTAAGACTTCAAAGCTTGACCTCATTGGTTGTAACAGCAGTTTCATGGTCACAATTGGACACTGTTGTTGGGCTGATACATCAACTTAATGTTGATGTCAGCTTGCCTGAAACACAATAGTGAACCTGCATTTGGAATCAGGAGTGCCAGAAAGCCCTGCAGACACATCTATTGGTCTTACCCTACACTTTTTTAGAGCAGAAGGCACTCACAGAAGAGCGAAACAGCAGAATTCTGCCAGTATCTCCGGTTGTAGATTCAGTGACGGCATTTTGAAAACTATTTTCATTGAAAGCGACACTTCTAGACAACTGTTAACTTAATTTGTGAGAATTTGTTGGTAAAAAGTTATGCTAGACCTATTCATTACACGTGATTAGAAACACACTTGCCGGTTAACAAAATATGGCTCTATATCTCGTGTTGTCTTATGTTATTAATATAAAAGAAATAATATATAGATTGATCCTTTGTTGAAACGAGCAAGGGGTAAAAAGGGAGAAGGGCAGTCAGCTAAACCAGTGCTGCAATCGATTGGCTTGCGTATACTGGCGAATGTGGAAGAGAGAGTATATCACTCTTGCAACCAGCGCAACAGGTCTAAATATTCAACTTCTCTAAGGATAGCTGTACTACCCAAACCAGCTGCACCAGCGCAGCAGTCATCCCGTCATGAAAGATCAACTCCACTTCCAATATTTGCCACGGGAGCACACCGACTGGTGCGAAGCTTATTTCACCTTGAGTTGCGGTCTACTGTATCAGCCAACAAACTTCAAATCACTGGGCAGTATTCTCCGACTCAAAAGAAGTTCTAGGATGTCTTTCCTAAGCACCTCATCGTGGATCCAATGAAGAATCAGCGTCAGAAATACGAAAAAGACTGCATTATGGCACTGCAAAATGACATAATGGCGTGTATTTTAGCTACGAGGGGTATTTGTGGGCAAGTCACTGCAATATCTCCGGCAATGACGTGCCTGATAAACCTATCAGAAATATCCCCAGAAACAACCCTTGTTTCTGCGCCTTTTATATCATTCGCCAATGGGTAAAAATGGAGTCGTGGTTTGACCACGGGACGTGTTTTAGCATGCTGATACGCAGCGGCAGCCCCAATTGTGGGTAACCCCATAGACATAATTTACACAAAAATCATTCCTTTTCTAAATTTCCTAGTGAGGTCAGAAAAGAGATGGAAAGTGCGCCAAATCGAGAGGAAGATATTTTCCGCGGAAGCTATCCCTTCTTGATTTGCAGCGTTCGTTATTCTTTCGTTATAGTTTTGTTAGCCAGTTCCTATCTGCTCATTTTCAGCATTGCTATGAACCCTACGTTTCTTCAAGTTTATACTTGCATTGACTTAATAGGCATTGCAGAGAAGTGCTGTTCAAACAGAATTTCAGTATTCATTGACCAGGGCCAAGAGTTAAGTAAGGGGTGCCTTGTACTCTCACCCCACCAAATATTTCCAGGAAGTTCTTTATAAATATAACTTATGTTCTCATCTCTTTCACAGAAAACGTCCTTGCAGTTTGCAACCACTTATAACTCACATTCGAAGGCGTTCTATCAAAAAGCGTCAAGAAGAGCGCCAATTACCTCAGATATAGGTGTTAAAGAGCGTTAACATTATCGTAAAGACCAATTCTAAACTACTGGGTTCCTGAATCGAATCCCTCGGGCTCACTCAGATTCAGACCATGCCGTGCTTGTGAGTCCGGGTGAGTAATGTTTTGGTTAGTCTCAGCTGAAATGAGTGCGGTTGAAAAAAAATTTTGTGGGCGTGAGTGCGAGTAAGTCCGCCTCAAAAAAAGTGTCCTGAGCCAGAGTTCGAGTGAGCCCTAAGGTAACAATATACCTCGTGAGTGCATATGAGTGAACTCCACAATTTTCGCCGACATATGGAGTCATTTTCTTGTTAAGGAACCTATTCTCCTTGATTTTTTTTTCCAGTGGCGTCTTCACAAGTTATTAAGGTTGATATAGGGAAGAGAATGTTCTGCAGAAAAAATAGTAGGTGTATCTCGTGGTAGTGGTCGTAAAAGCAGCGCTAGCTTTTCAATCCGCGTTTCAATCAGAATAGCATTGCAACTGGCTTGAAAAAATATGAAAGCTTGATCAAGGCACAAGGGGTTGCTCTTGTGATATGAATGCCTATGAACTTGCTTTTTGCGTCATATTCGAACAGTTCGTAGCCTGTGCTGTGTGTTGCCGCCCTCTCCCTGTGCGTGCGCACGGGGGTGGGCAGGGGGGCCACCACTCTCTCCAGTCTCCCGGTAGAGGAGAAGGGGGGGTGCAAAGTCGGCAACATACATTCACTGCAAAGCATCTTCACACCCCCTGAGGGAGAACCCTGCATTCGCAAGGTTATAGCTCTCGTTCTTTGCGTTGTGACGGCACAGCATCGCTTTGTAATAGGCATTCTATCGTATAAAATGAATACGCTAATGCTCGTTGTGAATGCAAGAAGTGGGTCGCCGCACCTAACAGGGACTGGTGAAGGGGATAACACAGGTGCACTCCAGTTCTTCATTTCTCCAGTCTTGCTTACGTACTGCGCCCTACTTCTTGCGTTCACAATGAACCGTTACGAATTAGCCCAAATGACCTTTTAGACATGCTAATGCCCATACGTTCCTCTATATATGTGCTCTTCCCAGCTGGAGCAACCTTGGCTGTTGCATTCCACGACCAGACTGGCTCAATTTCTGACCTTCCACACACCGTCCAAGCCACTGCGCCCAGCGAATGGACGCGTCTTTCCATCGAACGCTCGGATCTTCCCGACGTATTCTCGGTGAGCTGCCAAGAAGATTGAGTTACCACTTGAGATACTGAGGCCTAAAATTGCCCTTAGAATGCACGTTAGACCAACGAGTTACACCTCTTCTGAACATATTTGCTGCCTGTGATGTGTATTTTGTTTTAGCTTGGACAAAAATGTCGACATTCAGCTATCGAAGATTTAAAGAAAACAGATGATCATTTGTACGAATGCCGAATTTTCGTCAGCATTTGTTGATTCGTTTAGCATATCAACCGTATGACCTCAATTTGTACAGTGTTCTGATTCTCATCAAAAGTTTCTTCCATGTCCTTACAGTACCGGCATATCACCGTTCTATTTCGTGAAGTAGATAACATTATTTGTATCGATCAACCTTATCTGTAAAATATAAATAAAATTAGGAGCGTGGTATGTGACTAGGTACCCATAAACCAACTCTACAGGTGATAAAGATAGTAAAAATATCCATTTAGAGAAGATTTACAAAAAATTCAGCAATGTTAAATTTAGCAAAAAAAACTTTATTAGCATTGCTGCACAGTTCCTGAAGAAAGGCTCTGAGATGTCACGTTGAGAACGTACACCAGATTTAAGTAAAGGTTGTGCGATTTTGCGTGAACTTATTTTTCAGAGAAAAGAAAAACTGCGAAAGGGCTCACTGAGCTGAGCTGAAGATTCATGGTACAATGCAGTTCTTAATACCAAGCCACTAGTTCAGTGGCAAGAAGGAAATAATTTTACAATGTTGACAGAATGAAATATCACAGAAGAAGGGTCTCAAAGCGCTACTGCGCTTTTTGTGATCGACAGGACTTTCTAGATGGTTGTAGCCAGAACGCCCTTCCTGTGGGCATTTTTGTTTTATCATGAGTGCACGTGCGTTCTTTTTACTCTCTCTCCACCCCTCTTTCTTGCCCCTATTTCCCCACCCCCAGTGCTGGGTAGCAAACCGTATGCCAAATATCTGGTTAACCCACCGGCCTTCCTTTTTCTCTCTCTCTCACTCACTCTCTCTCTCTCTCTTAAAGAGCGTAATGGGAAACATTTTATTCAAAAACAAAAAATACAGACGTGCACATGGAAGTAATCTATGTAATACGTGAAATTGAGCATTATTTGACAGAATGCGCCTATATGAACAAATGTAACTAACGTGTACAACAATATCATTAATGCCCAGGGGCTGGGCCACATCGCGATACCATGATATCCTGACAATATGCTCGAGATGTTTCCGAGTCTCCATAGCTCTGCATTCTGATACATTAAAATGTATTTGTATCTCAGTGGTGACATACCTTTAGGATTTATCGATTATATCATGACAGCGTACGGGACACAGACATTTATTCGTTATTATCGTCAGAAGTTTTTACAAAAGGGAAATGAAGACATTTTGTAATAAGCTAAGCAAGGGCGTTCCACCATTCGGTGATAAAGGAAGAGCAGTTAAGAGTTCTCCATACACTCCAAACGGCCTGTGTAATAAAGTGCTAGACGCCACTGACACTAGCATCGTGAAACAGTGTTGTTGGCCTCTACCACCTAAATTCGTGGCCTCGTGAGGGTGGTGCGGTGCGTCTATCTTTCAATAAAACTTTTTTTCTAGTGACGAGTCATTTTGCGAGTTCAGGATTCTCGTATTTGGGGCATTCTTATGCTTTATGAGGGGTAAACTATTTAAGAAGCTGCTTTTTCTTCAGTGCCAATAACGCAATTACATTCTCAGCAAAGCTAACTGCATGTATAATAATTAACCCCTGTATGTTCCCAATTAAATGCTGTTAATAAAGAATTTAGGCGATATACTTCTCTTGCAAGATTGTATGAACTTTTACACTATTCCCGATACTATTCGGCAGTTAGGGATGTTTTCGTGTTAGCATCAGCATCCCAGAAACAAAGAGGAATTTCGGTAACTCTATTCTAATCCTATGTCTGCATCTGCATTTTGGTATACTTCTTCGTCTCTTTGCAAATTTGCCAACAAAATATCGCTTCATGACAAGGAAAAATTTGTCTCAGTAAATAAATTTCTGGCTTGCAGCCAATCATTTCAATATCTATGTTCCACAATACTTTTTCGAGCATATCTACCCAGGCCTGATAGAAACTAACAGTAGGCTACATGACATTATACCACATCTCCGCTGTACCGCGCATGTGAAAGTACTACATGACATTTATTTTCTCGAATGTGTGACAGCTGCACGTTACAAGATGCATTCGGCAGTGTACTTTACAGCAAAGAATACTCATGTGCAAGTCAATATACTGGGTTCACAAAACGGAACGACTGTAGTGAAGAAGTTGATACCCGGCATAGTCAAAAGTACACGAATTGACTTAAGTAATGGCCATATTTATTTGTCTAAGAATTGTATCCGCAGTAAGTCTAGCATGCTAAAAGACCTAGTGCCATCTACCAACAGCATGGGTTAATGTTGCGTTACGCAGGTTGTCATCACCGGTCGGACTGCACGTGGACGCAGTGACGTCCTCATTGACGATATTGACGTACGTAGGGGAAAATGCCCAGGGACAGCAGGTACCACTATAACAGCCGGACCAGGTACGCTCCAGCTTACGCTGTTACACTCAATGCACTGTTATCTTACGGATATCTTTAATATGGTGCACTTTACCAGTGTGAATAGGTGACACGTCACCAGACGCTAGCTTTTACACTTTTCATTATGTGCTTCACAAAATGAACTGTGGTTTTGAATGTGTGCGAATCCGACACATGGGCGCGAGTCAACATAGAACGAAGGTTTCACTACTGATGCCGTAAAATGTTTGAAAAATTGCAGGAACCGTGCAAAATTATGAATGATATGCAAATGTGTCACAATGTCAAAAAGTTGACACAACGACGCATATGTTCACGTAAATTATGGTGTCCGTGTCACATTGAACACACAGCTATGTGTCAGTCGAAACCGTGCATTTTCCGTCCCACTTGTCAGCCGCCAGAGAGTGTTTCTTCACGTCACGCACCCATAACGATTATTACCACTGTTCATAAAACAAAAAAATAGGTTCAACCTGCACCGTTTAAAATTATGCGTGGTCTTCTTGGCAGAGCCAGTATAAAGAGAACGACTTCATCGCATAATTAGGAACTGTTATTTTCCTTGGCGCACTTGTTTCCCACAGCTCAGGGACGTTCTCGCCTACTGTTTCGCCCATAACTTATGCACTAGTAACCGTCCGTAGGGTAACCCTGTTATTCAGTGCGTAACTGGTGCAGAGCAGGCTCACAGTATCTGTCAGCCTGCCTTGCTGCGTCAAAGCCTTTCCTTTTGGAAAGGCTTTGACGCAGCAAGGCAGGCTTTCCTCTTGGAAGGTGCTTTTCCATCAAAATCTCTGCGAATGAATCTGCTTACCGAAATACATGACCGCAAAAAAAGTACCAGGGCAGCGATTTGGCAAGTCGTTTTCATGATCACCCAAACCTGTAGCATTTGGACGTTGCTCAACAGTCGAGGGACCATTACATCGTATTAGCAGTGACCAGAAACGGGTAAATCGCAAAAAAGAACTTCTGGCAGAAGAAGCCATCACGTCACTGGCCACCTAGGTTGAGGCAACTTATTCCACTTGGAGTCATTTAAAAAAAATGCTCACATACTTCATGGAGGGCTGTGTTGATTTTTAAAGGGCCACTGACCACCCCGTGTTCAAAGACGTGGAGGTGATTTTCTCCTCTCCTTCCTACACACTCTGCATCCTCCTCACCTTATACTTCTTGAATGCATGTGAACAATATTAGCACTAAGCGCTTGATCCTATCAGGATTCGCACTTCTCGGCTGCACGCTGTTATGGCTTCTTGCGCAATTGTATAATAAAAAAATAAAGTTTGATCGGTTGATTGTGTCCAATATTCATGCCAGACAAAGAAAAATGGATGATCTGCTGCATGGCAAAGCAGTGCAGGAGACTAAACGCATGTGATATTTCGCGTATATCAACGAATCGAGAGCTTGTACGTTGTAGACGTCATGGGAACTACTGTCTACGTCTTAGCTGTGCGCCAAGAAGAATGAGAAATATCAGGAAAGATTATTGCGCTCTTTTTTGTATTTTAGAATCCTGGTAAAAGGAATTTTATTCTAGCCTGGCTTCACAAGAACAAATAAAGTTCTGGTGACCAGCTCGCCCTTGATTCCATCACGTTTTCCAGCTGCTGCATCGTCTCGCGCGCGCTGTTAGCGATGGAAGAAATTCCGGTCCAGAGAGACTTGTGCATGATGAAAAGCACCTAGATGACCGACTCTACAACGCATTTTGCGTTTTACCAAAGCACTAGCGCGTCAGCAGAGGGGTCACCTCACATCGATAAGCCTCGTGCACAGAAAACGGTTACAGTGTATTCACGCGCACAAATGATGAATGCTCACAACGTTACCCGTCGCTTGCTCATTTGAAACGTCCGCTCATTAATAAGGTGAGAACACGTCGAGAGCAGGTAATCAAGAAAGTGACACGCGAGGGGTAATTTTGTATAATTGTTCTTGCCTTCCTCACCACCAGCCGGCTGCGTGAAGCCACGACAGTGGTACACTCTAAAAAATCTCATTCTTACCTAAGCATGTGTTTCAAGTTTTTTTACACGCCTAAAGCATACGTGATATTCCTCCACGCTTACCGATCAAGCCTACTAAGAGTGAAGAGTGCCATACTCTTCACGCATAGCAGGCGTAACATATGAACCACGTTTCCCGCGCTTATCATGGTGTGATGGCTGTGCGCGCTTAAAAACGACACTGGTTATCCTCGCCAAAGGAGGAAAGAGACTGGTTGCATGGTGGAGTGACGCAGCTCCCTCTCGCGTCTCTCCCTTGCGATCAGCTTGTAGCACCGGTTGATGCCAGCGTGGGCTACTTCTTCGAAGCAAGCTTTGCTCAGAAAGCTGTTCTTTTCTCTCCACCTTGTGAACTTGGCTAGTGTTAATGCCCTGCATAAAAATTGCACGAGATAATATCGCGAAGGATGTTGAAACTAGCAAACTAACAAGCGCTTTTGGTAAGCCGTGCTCCATTCGAAGGATGCAGAACAATATTAGGTGTTTGACAACCCATGTGATAAGCTGACACAAGAAACCGTTGCAAATATCTATTGCTTGCTGTTATTGAGTACGACAGAAGGATAACTAACATTCTTACCTATATTGTCCAACCGTCCGTGAATTGCAGGTGAGTGGCCGCAATATACACACCATCTGTGGGCAATGGCTGCTCCAGAACCATCAGACCGTGGCGGGTTTTCTCGCATGAACTCGGCACAGTAATAATCTACACTCTAAAAAAATATCGAGTAAAAAGGGTGTCTTTTTTGTCTTACAACAGTAATCGTCATCAGGATTGCGTGCGCTTCCTTTCTTGAAGAATCGGCACTGACCACTTTCCTATCGAGAATGCAATGTAACCTTGATAATAGGCATGTTGATCGTGACCGGAATGTACCGGGCGCGGGGCCATAGCGCAAGGATGGAACGCAATATAGATGACTATTATTGTTGTGGGACAAAAAGACACCCTTTTTACTCGCTCTTTTTTTAAAGTATGTGCTTGCAACGCCCACGTTGCACGCCAAGAACGCCTACGAAAGTAAACATGGCAGAAATATCTGCCTTGCAGTGCCTGAACGGTGTTAAAACCCAAATACCTCGCAACAAACACAGTGTTTCAGAAGCGCGTCCTTCGAGAGCCTTCCGAAGTAAAGTTCCGTGTTTGCTGCAACAGGCGTGACAAGAAGGCGAGGCGAATGAGCATGTGCCTCGTCATGTTCATCGTTGAGAACGCTCTCCCTTCGGGCAGACGGTGCCGCCTATCGTGGCTCCCGTATTAGGATTTCTATATGCGTTACGACCAATGTTTACACGTGTTCGCCACGGGATTGTAAGCGTGTGATATCCGTTGCACATGCGTACACTGCTCGCCCACGCGTGCACATTTCATTTCATTTCATTTATTTACTCTCAAGGCCGAAGCATTACAGAGAGGAGCGGGTATACATCGTACAGAAAATCAGGAAATACAGCAAATCAAAATTATATGCGCACAATGGCGATCTGAAAACCATAAAAGAAAAGAAAGACTGCGTGATGTGAAGAAGAGGCAGGGTGGTTGTAACAACAATGTTCAACATGGTTGCGTCTTTGAATGACACGCGCACACAAAAAACTAACAACAGAAAACACAGCGTGACTTAAGTGGCGAATTTACGCGAAATGGTTAGAGAGGGCATTTTTAAACAGAGTGAGGTCAGTGATAGCAGCGATAGGGGCGGGAAGGTGGTTCCACTCATTTGCAGTTTTCGGGATGAATGATTCAAAATATAAATTCGTGCGGGCGCTAGGAACGCCCACTTTAAACTGATGATCGTTGCGTGAGGAAACGTACGATGGGGGCTGGAAAAGAGTGTTGCTAAAAGACGGAATACAATGAAAGATCTTATGGAACAGGCAGAGGCGAGATATTTTACGCCGCAGTGAGAGAGTGGGTAAGTGAAGATTGGCTTTCATCGAGGTAACACTGGACGTGCGATGGTAGTTGGACATGACAAAACGTGCCGAGCGATTTTGAACCGCCTCGATGCTGTCAGCGAGGTAATTGGTATGTGGATCCCAGACTGATGACGCGTACTCGAGTTTGGGTCGGACTAATGTTTGATAAAGCAGAAGTTTAAGGTTAGTCGGAGCCAAAGAAAAGTTTCTGCGCAGATAACCTAACGTGCGATTCGCATTGTTTGTAATATAATCGACATGCGTGTTCCAAGAAAGATTGTTAGAAATATATACTCCTAGGTACTTGTAGGACGAAACCAGATCGAGATTGCTGTGGTTAAGTGTGTAGTCGCACGGTACATTATGAGAAATACAACGGGAAATTCGCATAGCCTTGCATTTAGTAACGTTTAGCTTCATTAACCATGCGTCGCACCATGATGAAATGTGATCCAGGTCTGTTTGAAGGGCAAGATTATCTGCGATAGTCCGGATTTCACGGTAAATTACACAGTCATCGGCAAATAGTTTGATGGATGATGAGATGTCTTTAGGTAAGTCGTTGATGTAGATAAGAAATAGTAGGGGACCAAGAACTGAACCTTGCGGAACGCCGGACGTTACGGGGCTAGTCGGGGAACAATGGTCGTTAGCAGTTACAAACTGGGTGCGGTTAGATAAGAAACATTCAATCCACTTTAAGACGTTAGCATCAATATTTAGCGCGTTTAGTTTCAGAAGAAGTAACTTGTGGCAGACGGTATCAAAGGCTTTTGAAAAATCTATGAAGACACAATCAACAGTAGATGAACGATCAGCAGCAGAGAATAAATCGTTAGTGAAGGCCAGAAGCTGTGTCTCACATGAATAATATTTCCTAAACCCGTGTTGGTGAATGCTAAAGAAGGCGTTACTTTCAAGATAACTCACGACGTGGGTGTAAATTACATGTTCGAGAAGTTTGCATGGTACACTGGTTAGTGAAATGGGGCGATAGTTCCCGGGACTATGAGCGTTTCCTGATTTAAACAAGGGAACCACCTTCCCCACCTTCCAGTC